TTGAGTGAGGAGACAGGCGAAGCGCGATATAAAACCTGTACTCGATGTGGACAACAGTATGATGACTATTCGAAAGATGGTTGCAAAAGACATGCAGCCTACTTTCTTGGTGGTGGTGGCCTTCTTGAAGACCAATGGGTTTGTTGTAGACAACAAACAGCTGATTCACCTGGTTGTAGACCGTGTGAACATATTGATCAAGTTCGCGAGTTTTTTACAAACAGTCAAGGATGTTCGTATTGGAAACCAGCTTAAGTATTTTTCCGAACACCAACATTCAGTTCGAGAATGTCAATTTGTGAATTTCGAATAAATGTGATAATTGATTGGCTCGCACAAGACGTATCCACTTAAACAGAAAACAAAAAAAAAATAAATCTACAGAATGCGTACTTTTTTCTTTTTCTTCACAAATGGCAAGTAAGAATGACGATTATGAAATCTCCTTGATCGACAATGAAGCTGATGCTCGTTACTGCGCGAGATTACTTTCTCAAGAGTTTGCAACTAATAATCCTTTTTCTGTTTTTACTCGTGCATCAGCCGAAGACTTATTTGATACTTGGTTATGGCCAGTAATAACTCGTACAATGGATGAAAAACTGTCCTTCCTTACAAGAGATCGATCAACCAATCAGATTATTGCTGCAGCATTTGCCTGTGATCTATTTCTACTTTGGCAAACATATCCATACGATGATTCAGCTCCTGCATCTCATAATCCTACTGGTGATTTCTTTCATGAATTAGCTGCACATTTTATTCACCATGATCTTAATCAAGAATTGACACCAAACACGTTTTTATATATTACAGCCATTGGAACGCAATCTGAATACGTCGGTAGAAGTTTAGCAATGAAATTATGCGTTCATTTATGTGATTATGCACGAGATCAACGAGGATTTCGATATGGATTTGTTCAAACAACTCATCCAGCGTCTCGCAGCATTTTTGTGAAAGGAATGCATGGCGAAGAAAAGGCAATTGTCGATCCAGCAGCATGGATTTGGAAGAAACGCAATGATAGTTCATGTTGTCCATGGAAAGGATATGTTGGAGAACCGACAGTCAACATTCTAGTAAAATTATGATATTGAAATCGAATTACACGCAATATCAATTCCAATCATGAATAAACGAAAGAGTTCTTTTTATATGAAGTTTGTTATTAAAGATATCAAAAATATATTGTTGATTCGTGAGAACTGTTTGTTTAAACTTAGAGAAGAATGATAAAGGTACTGTCAAGCTTATGCTCATCGAACCTTTTTCTAATGAGATCGGAGTACTGTACCGTCTTGGAAGCTGTATTCACTTTCTTCTATGTAGTTTCAAAGGTATCTTGCGAAATTCACCGCGTTCCGAGAGTGTTGAAGGTATTCTACTGGTGTGATGTTCGAGAAAATTCTTAAAGTTGTACACGTATTGTATTTGTGTTCGTTTGCATATATTTACACTTTCATTTTTCTTCCGTTTCGTTTCACTGCTAGTGCTTATTTGTTAAACTTTTGTACTTAAACTAATATGAGACAAGTGAAATTCTAATCAATATTTATTTCTGGAGATCTTATTCTGCTTGACAACCAGTCTAATATCGACAAAAAATGACATGAATAATAATATTTATATTAAAGGAAAATATTGATGAAAATTTTCCGGTAAAACAGTTACTTCGTTTAGATTTAGTTTTCTCAACTTATTGCAGTTAAGACATGCCACATCAATAGTAAAGTTATTTGTAATCATCCGTAGTGATTCATATTGAATGTGCAAATCGTGTAAACGAGGTAGAATACTGTTTGTATTGTAAAGTAATTCTTCTGCATAACTCATGTGTGCACCAAGCAGATCAAGAAGAATAAGATGAGGAAATACATTTAATACCGATGAACAATGTTTTCTCTCCTGTGGTTTATCGTTCCAGATGATTAGATGTTTGAGTTGTGGAAAGCTATCAGATACAGTTTTGAATAATGTGTGTTCAAAAGGAAACGCATCCAACATTTTCAAACGTACAACTTTATTAAACATACCGCCTGGAAATGAATTGTTCAAATGGATAAAATCTTCGAATTCATATGGAAGTGAATACACATGAGAATCACCACCCGTTCCTAACCGATTAATATGAACATATGAGGCAACTTGACGGAATATTTTGTGAGTAAAACTGCGTCCAAGATCTTTATTGGGCTGAAATTCAAAATTAACATCCTTGTTGTAACAGCAATCAGTCGTATATATACTAAACGTGAACTTGTTCAATTGTGGTAAACGCATAATAATCTGATCTTGTAATTGCACACCATCGATAAAAGTTGATTGCCATCTAACTGCATATAAAAATAATGTTAACTCTTCGAGATTTATCATTCGATGAAGTAATGGTATCACTTCTCTATCATAATAGTATGTGGATTCAAGTGAAAATAGTGAAAAACATTTCAAGCTCGGTAATATTGGCTACAGTGTAATGAACAAATCCATCATTTTCTCCTTATTGATCAAAGAAATTATATTTACCAGAGTCCCAGATTCGGATAATGAGTAACGGATGTGCTTTATATTAATAATTAACGTAGATAAACAGTAGAGATCACCATTAAGAACAGTTAAATAGTCTTCCAAACTTTCAACACTTATTTTCAACTTCGTTAAAGTTGAAGATATGCAACCCTTTCGTGGATAACAGTCGATAATAGTTGATAAATATCGATAGCGGTACAATTGACAAAAGTTTAAATTGATCAATCGTTTGCATATAGATAAAATTGTGTTGAATATTTCTGATCGAATTTCCAAGTCCTCTTTTCGATGTGGTTGAATATCGACATCCAGATTTGTGATTTGATGAGTTAGAATACAATGGAGTCCATTACCTACGAGTCAAAAAACAGAAGATTGCGGTTACGTCTTTCTAAGACCTTTATTTTCCTAAATGAACATGAGCAAAAATCCAAATACGTACTCTTTAAAATTCGAAGAATCTTTGTGCTCTCGAAGTTAACGAGCGAAAGCGAGTTGAGTTGAGGAAAACTGGTAGTTTGAAGAATTCTTTTCACTGAGTATTGATCTACGATGAGCTTGTGAATATCAGGAAGAATTCGAGGTACAATGTTTTTGTAGATTCGATCAAGAACAGATCCGTCTATTGCAGTGAACATATAGTCAAACTGTTGTTGAATTGTCATATTAATGAAGGAAAGATGACGTATATAGTGTGTATCAAATACTAATCGATCGAATCGTTCATTAACATCTAGTAGTGAACACCGGTATTGAACAATGACATGTGAGTTATGTTGTTTTCGTTTTCTTTTAGCGTTGCCTGTTGCTTACCCATTTATCAGATCGTTTCTTGTTCTATAAACATTTTTTCGTCTAGTCCGGAAAATACATTGAAAAATTGAAATTGAATCAATCAACTCTCAGTTGTTACGCGGAAGCCCTTCTCATAATGTTGGTTTAAACAAAATTGAGTTTTCTTAGTGTATTTTATCCAATGATGATCGATTCTGAATTATGACCCAGTCTGTACGAATTTTACTGTCTGTAATGTCGCAATAATTTAGCTTTTATTATATGTGAAATATATATTCTTCTTTTATTCTTCCATCAGCGCAAAAAAACACATGTATGAAAAGTGAAAAATGATCAGTACAAATGTTATGCGTGTATAGAATCAAGCGAAATTATATTCGCACTGGTAAACAAATTGATTGATTCATTTGTTGCTGTTGTCGAGAACTTCTTTGGTGTTACACTTGGTCTCGCAATCGCTTCCCTATAAATGGAATGCTTTTATTTACGATTTGATTCTGATTAGCATGAATTACCTCATCGGTCGACTCTTGAGTAGGGGTGGCACATTTACGTTTATTTTAAATTAACGTAAACGGATTCCGTTAACCGTTGAAATCAACATTAACGAAACCCATTAGCCTTAATATTGATCTCAACGACTTTTACCTAACTAGGGTTAGGGCATCTAATTTAATTTGAGTTAATTAACGGGTTTCGTTAACGTTGATTTCAAGGTTAACGGATTTACTAAAACCCGCTAACCGTTAATATTAACGTTAACGTTTTTTACTTAACATTAATACTAACGTTAACGTATTTTATTTAACGTTAATATTAAGATTAACGGGTTCCGTTAACCGTTGAACCTAACGGTTAACGGCTTTTCCTTATTTCGTTAACCGTTAATATTAAAGTTAAATAATTCCGTTAATTAATACCCGTTAATTAACTCAAATTAAATTCAATGGTCCACCCCTACTCTTGAGCACTTTTTAAGAATTCAAGTATTTCCTTCGATGGCGCTAAAAAAAGAAAAGAGGTAAAACGATAATGAAAAGTTCTATTTACGATCATTTGCCAAATTCTTTATTTTTTCTTTTTGCTGTTTTTTGTCCTCGAGGTTGACGGCAAACCCGACAACTTCCTGCTGTTTTCTTATTTCGATTAGATCGATCTTGTGTTGATCAACGGTTGACGAAGCCTTTTCGCTCCGCTCATACTTTTCAATTTTCTGTACGATAGCTTCGGCTTCGTCCCGCTTTTTCGCTTCGAGAATTAGTAATTTCGGCAACTAAATAGCAACAGATTTTCAATTGCAGATTACAGGGAAAGTCGTGTTTTTAACTAACCTTGAATTCGGTGTTTTTCAATTCGAGACGAAATGATGACATAGTATGGTTTTGAATTTATCTAAAATGGTTAAATGTTCGTGTTTCCTTTGTTGGTTAGCAGGGAAAGCAACGGACACAAAGACGACGAAGAACAGTTAGAGAGAAAATAAAAGAACGATGTTTGTCGAAGAAATTCACTTTTGCAATATCTCGTACATTTATTCACAAATCGAGCACGTGTATCTATACTTTTCCTCTTTCTCTCTCTCTCTGTTGCGTGGTCCAATGTATAGAGATCAAATTATTTTAAAGAAAACGATGATGGACAGGATTTCAATTTCATTTGAAATGGAAGACAATACATTGCAAATCCGTTCAAGTTCCAATACTCGCTCTTCTAATAGCGAATAATGTAGATTGCTCAGCAATAAAGTCGATATCAAACTCTTTTAGATTCTAAGATTTGTAGCAAATATCGTCAAAAGCTTCTCTTTTTCTCGCAGAATAGAGTTCTGCAACGATTCATTAGCTTGTCCATCGGCACTTCATTGATTAGATCACAAAGGAGTTCAAATAAAAAGCATTGTGATTGGGTAAAATTGCGCAGAACGGCAGTCAATGACGGACAATTCAAATCTAAGAGAGGCTCTAATTGATAACTAATCAATAATCAGTTAATATTGTGCATAAGCCTTGGTCGAGCATTGGTTGTTTAAATAACAGTGGTAGTTTTAAAACACAACTTCTCTGAGAATGGTCATGACGAGGTCCGAGTCGAGCCGTTACTTGTGAATTAATCATACCGTTAATTTACCTCCCAATGAGGTGCACGTTGAACTGCGGAAAACATGTTCAAAGAAGTACAAATGTATTTTTGCTTCGTTGTAATTATATCATGCGAAAAGAAGATAGTGTGGTGAAAAGACCGCTTTTAAGTTGGTTCCTTTCAAAGTAAAGCTCTTATTGAAAAATGAAAATCATGTATTGTTTATGTGATGACAGAAACGTTCTAACATGTTTATATGAGATTCCTTGTTTCGATTACAAAACAAAAACTACGTATATTCTCTGTAGATGACTGGCAAAGAAACATCTTGCTTAATGAGATCGATTACGTTGCTCAACTAACAAAGTTTTCAATTATATTGCGAGTGGGAAAGTGAAAACGTCTGACCATCCAAATCTAATTGCGACTGACGGGAAAACTTTGAGACACTGATGGCACCAAACTTGCAGTTTTCCTTTTTTTTACATCCGCACTTTCACCGTCACTCACAAAATAGTGACCTAAAAGTTGAACTCCAAGATTTAACAGAAACTACTGAACACTGCGGCTTGTGTTATTGATTATATTTATCTTTTTCGTTCATTCCAAATTGTAAAAATCATTAGATTCACTTTTATATGTGAAGTAACCAATACCCGCCTCGAATATCACATAACCATGGCATGATAAAAGAAATCCTCAACCATCATTGTAACAAACAGTCTTGGAATCATCCATTAGCGAGCTGAATACACCATGTTCATCTATTTACTACTCTACAACCGAGCATTACATGCATTGATTTATTGTTCACATTCTACTACACACACAAAAAAGAAGAGTTTGAGCACATATCAAGAAAAAAGAGTCATTCTTCTAGTGTTGCATTTAAAGATTCTGTTGATTTAATGGTATTTTTTGATCAGCAACACCATGTTCATCATGCATTTGACTGACATACGAGCCTAATCCATCAGTAAATGGTTTATAATCTTCAAAGAAGAATGCATTAATCTGAGCGCCCAAAATGAGAATTGTTGCAAAATAATAGAAGAACAAAAGAAGAATAACTGCGAATCCAATTTGTCCTGAATAAAAAGAAAAGAAGTTCGTTTTTATAATAACTATTTTCTTTCAAAGGACTTACCTGCATAATTGTTCATAAATTTTCGTACATATAATGGAAACAAAATAATAAATATTTCCAAAGTAAAAGCTGCAACTAACGCACCACACCACGTCACTTTGAAATTCATTTTCTTATTTGGAATAAACCAATAGATTAACTCGAAAAGAGCAAACGCGACCAACAATGAAAATAGAAATCCACCCAGAAAGGCTCCAAATCGACCGCCACCACCTGGAATAATACTGAGCAAAAGTGCTGGTGCTGAACTTGCTGCCAACATCACAGGAATAACGATAATAAAAATAAATAACATTCCAAAGGCTAATAAATTCTCCTTAAGGAACGGTCGTTCCGGGACGCGATAAATAATATTCATACATTTATCAATGGCGATGAATAACCGAGATGAACCAAATAATGCAAAGATAATACCGATGGCTAATAGACCTCCTGCATCTTTCGATAATTGTCCAAATGCTAAATCAACAACCTAGAAAACAAGCAGAATTTGGAATTTTGAGCAAAAGTGAACTGTTACTTGTCGGATGCCGGATTGTGTTGTATTATCCGATGGAAACGAATGTATGATTTTGTTCTTGATGTTTTCTCGAGCTTCATCATTGTTTTTCAAAATGAGACCTAAGATTCCGAATAACGCGACGGCAATCGGAAGAAGTGCAATTAAGAGATTATAAGCGAGCATTGCAGCAAAGTTTAACGACCAGTCATTGAGGAATTTACGGAAAAAACGACGAAATGGTTTGGTCCTTTGTTGACCTTGTTGAAAAGCCGTTGTTGATTTAAGATTATCGATCATTATTTTGTTTGAAATAAAAACAATGTGAATCAGTACACGAACTGCGTTATTAGAAGATATAAGGAACAAATGAATATGCCCGATAAGGATACAACGAATAGAAATGAGGGCAAATTCTTTTCTTCTGACGGAGAGGTGAAAGAAGAAAGAGAATCAATTGTTTATACACATATAGTGGAGACAGCTGTAAATAGATACAACGAATCAAATTCGGGAAAAAGACTGCCTTTGTTCAAATTATATTTAACCAAAATAAAAACAATTGCAAAACATTTCTTCGATCTATTTCTATTGGAAAATGCGAACACAGTTGAAAATGAACGATTTATCGTGCCTTTTTTCATTGCTAATGGTGACTTAGATATTCTCACATGTAAATGATTAGCTTGAATACGAAAATGTCACATGTTGTGTATATGTAAAAACGTCCATTAGAGTATTTTGTTGACAATTTCATAAAAGAATAAAAGAAATGCTATTTTGCTGACTGATATGTTTCACTTCTCCAAAAGCAAATGTATGAAAATCATTCATGCAAAGCGACAACGACGACGAAGATAACGCTTGAGTCACAGAAACGATGATTGTAAGAGAAAACAACATATATCGACAGTTTTCTTACCATATTATCTCGAATATTTTTTCATTTCTCATCCAAATTCTACTATTATCTCTAAAGATTTTTTGTTTTATTTCAACATTAATCAACTATTTTCATACATGAATGTGATACATCGACCTAAAAATCATTGAAGTAGAGAGAACGACAAAAAAAAGAGCGTTTTTCATATTCGTCTCCATACCTGCATCCGATAAGACAGTCATCATTCACCCCTTTCACTCTGTACATACTTTTACTCTCATAGTTTATTGTTATTCGACTTCTAGACGCGTGAATCATAATCTAATCGACAATCATGGCATTAACTGTGTTTTTATTCAAAGTTTCTCATCTTAATTTATCGAAAAATTCCTCTCAAATCAGTCTTAACACAAATGATAGTGAATCAGTAATGGACGCACCAACAGTGCGACTGATTGTTGATGAAAATACGACACTACTTAGTGCGAAAACGACCTTTCGAGGTAAGGAGATACTTGTTATCGTGAGACAATTTTTGTTAAATTGCTGATATTTTCAATTAAACACTCGTCTGTGCTTTTAAACGTGTCATCATAACATTTACACTGTCCTTGATGTCTCACGTGTGATGATTCGGTCGATATGTTATGCTTATCAGCAATGGAATCGTGTCGGAATTGAAAATCTTAATAAAAATTGCTTTTATTTATCAGTTATTTGACGTTTCAGGTATCAGTCTTTGGTCGAACAATGTTCCGGTGTTTAAAGATGAAGCAAGTTTTCTGGCACGTGGTCAACAGCCGAAGAAATTCAATTTTAATCTAGCGGAAGCCTTATCGTCAGCGGATAAAATTCGCATGGAGTTCTATACACATACAAATCGAAAAAAACGCAAAAAATTAGTGGCAATTTTTGAAATGGTTTTAGAATCTCTGAAGGATTTACAATTTGTCCATCTAGTCGATGAGAATCTATTCGATCCACACAATTATCTAATGACAACGACTGTCGAATTGAAATTGTACTATACGCCGCCGGATATCGAGCAAATTAACACAACATTAGGTGCCACTGCTGCTGATAAGCAGCTAACTGATTGGAAAAATGTATTTGATGAACAGGGAAGACATGGTGGACATCGATATCGACATATTCATTCGAAAAAAGATCCAACAATGTTCGTAGTTTGAATAAAGTTGATACAACTAAAGATTTGGGTATTTTTAGTCGACGACTTCGTAAGAAATTTGTTGGTCGTACTGACGATGCTGACACCGATTCAGGTAGTGATGAAGATTTCAATATCAATGACGAGTTGAAAGCCGATGAACCAGGCGAAGAAGAAAAAAAACAGAAAATTCAACACGGAAACATCGAATTATTACAAAAAAGGTATCGCATTTCGTTTCACAACTATCAATGATCAATGAAAGGTAAAATTCGTTTAGTTTGGGTCGATATGAAGGTGATCCATATGAAATCAACGAATGGCAAATTATGGTTCATGTTATTCAGGGACGAGAATTTCCTGGATTGGAATTGAATCCATATGTTTGCGTTCAAATTGATGATCAGAAACGTTATACAAATATTCATCAATCATCGAATTCGCCATACTTCGGAGAAGTAAGATAGAGACGAAGGCTTGAATCGTGTTGATTATAATCTTAAATTTTAGTTTTTCACCTTTGATTTCGCTCTGCCGGCTATGCAAGTGATGCAGAAAGTGATTTTTTTCAAAGTAATTTCTTGATTTCGAAGAGAAAACGTTCTAATAGTTTTCGATGTTCTTTAGGTTCATCATTCGAGAAAAATTATCAGTACGTTTACAGACACAAAACCAATCGCTGTATTTCGATTAGATATTGGCACTATTTACAATGAAAAAGAACATTCGTTTGAACGAAAATGGGCGCAATTGATCAATCCGGAAAATATCGAAGCTTATTGCGGCCATTTACTTCTTTCCATTACCGTCACAGAACGCGGCGCTCCATCAGCGGTAAAAACATGTTCATTTTGAATAAAAATCCATTCTTCATGACTAATCTTCTTTAGAATTTGCTGAATCAACTGGACGAAGACGATGATGAATACAAACCCTCGTAATTTTCATTTTTTTTCCTCCTTTGATTCGTGTTCAAATGGAAATTCTTGTTTAGAAAAGCATTGGTTCCTGCCGCTATGCCACATCCGTTATTTCCCGTTCAAATCAAAATCACATTTTACACCGCTTCGGAACTGCCAGAAATGATGACGGAATTTCTGACATCAGTTTCGAAAAAAATCCTTCAACCCGACGGTTGGGAACCTGTCGATCCCTATGTTGAAATCAATTACAACACAATGCGAGCTGTGACAAGTCATATCAATGGTACCACACCAGTTTGGGGTGAAGCATTTTATTTAATTGGACGTTTTCCTCCGTTGATCCGAACGATTAAAATCGCATTAAAGGATCACGCGGCTGTTCAACGTGATCGAATTATTTCGTCAACGTTCATCGATCTCTTCTCCATTAGTGAAACAAGTTCGTCCGCAGGCTTTTTACCAACATTCGGTCCGACATGGATGTTCTTGTACGGAAGTCCTCGTGAATACACGATGAATAAAGAACAGGATGGTCTTAGCGAAGGAATGGGCGAAGCTGTTTGTTACAAAGGACGTTTATTAATGGAAATCGAATGTCATCCAGTCAGTGGAGAAAACACATCAAATATGACTGTACAAAAAGAAACTGGAATTCAACTGCCTGAAGCAGTAAGATAAAGTTTCAATCGTGGCGGCATCTCTGAGTATTCTCTTTTCTTTCATAGAATTTATTTCCAATGAAACGAACATTTCTTTTATTTGGTTGTATTTATGAAGCGACAATGATTGACAAAGCATATGGAAATACCTCAATTTGTTTCGAATTGAGTATTGGTTCAAGTGGATATCTGAATCCTCAGCAAATGATTGAAGCAACACGTGTTCCTGTCACATCCTTAACGCGCTCGTATCCATCTGTTCCAGTTGACAACAATAAACAATATTTTCGTTTACCGATTGACTTACAAAAACCGATCCTCTTTACAAAATACACATTTCACGATTATGTCTTTCGAATGACATTGTCCAATCGTTTTAAAAATGCCGCTGAACATATCGTAATTCGATTCTTCATTCTCTTCAATCGTTATTTTTCTTTCCTTAGCAAAAACAAATTCGTAATTTCGAATGTAAAATCGATTCGCAAGTTTCCGCTGAAGCTCTCATGGAAGAATATCAGAAAATTCATGATTATATCCATGCATTGCCATGTGGATGTGCTGAACGTATATCCACCGAAGATTCCTATGGCATCGCTCCTGTAGTTCATCCGAGTTTAACTGAAGTCTTAGATTCGGTTCCGACATCAAAAACGAACACCTTGGACGAAAAGCGGCGAACGAAACTTATATTTAATTTGAACTCTATCAAAGCTTGGATTTCGAAGAAACGCGATTACGATGAATCGAAACGGTATGATATCGTCAAAGATTTGAATCAAATTGCTCGAGCATTCCGATTGATGGCCGTTGATGTAAGTGAATTTGACTAAGAAGTCTCTACGGATATCCTTGATTCTTGTTTAGGCACAACCAGCGTTACCAGATGTATTTCTATGGATGATAAGTGATTCGAAACGAGTGGCATATGTAAGAATTCCAGCTGAAGATCTTCTATTCAATTTATGTGAAGGTGACAAAGGTTTTCACAATGGTCGGGTTCAAACATTCTTTCTCAAAGTTTGAATTACTTTCCAAGATTTACTGTTGATGTCTACGCATCTCTTTTAGACACCACGCTCAACGGATAAACCATTGAATACTTCGGCGAATGCCAAAGTGCAAATGTTTTTATGGCTGGGAATCGAAGAGTACGAACCTTATATATACAGACAATTACCGACCGGATTTGATATGCCAGTATTACCATTACAAGCATCAACGAAAACTCTTCGCTATGGCGGTAGTCACCATCGTTTATGAATAAAAGCAAACTTTGTTCTTCTTTCTAGAACGACATTTCTATGAAGTACGATGTCATTGTTTGAAAGCACGAGCGTTGATTGCTTCGGATGATACGGGTTTGTCTGATCCTTTTCTAAGTATAACTGTCGGCACTGCAACACAAAACACACCGGTAGAGATTAGTTTTATCATAATACAACTTTCATTTTTCCCTTAGATTCTTCTGCAATCTTTATGTCCACAATGGAACGTGACATTAGCCTTTCCGAATTTAGTTCACGTAGGTGACCGGCGATCCGCCGAACAGATCATTGGAAACATTGTTGTCGAATGTTACGATTATGACGAAGTAAATATCTCCCTCTATATAACAGCATGTGTTTCAACATAAGATTTTTTTTCTATCTGACTTAACATTGAATGTTGCTATTTATCCTTTAAGCAAAGTCTCCAGGTAAGCCAAGCGAAAGCTTCTGTATTAATAAATCCCGTCATTATTGAGCAATACTAAAAATACATAGTAGTTCCGTTCTTTTTATTTAACCATCACTGTGAAGAATCTACACAGCTGTGCGCTCTCCCCCCTTTCGAAATATTTACCATGAATCATTCTAGGACAATGATGGACCCGATCTAATTGGACGATTTTCCACAACGGCTAAACTTAATTTGTACAAGAAAGATGATCCGAATCAGGAATATCCATTTCAATGGTACGAATTCAAGATGGGCGATAAACGAGCTGGTGAACTTCTTGCAGCATTTGAACTGATCGAAATGAACCCAGTAAATTTATTCGGACAGAAACTTCGGAAACATTTTGATTCTTTGATCATTATAGGAAAATCAAGACCCTGATTCGACATACGAATTAATAGAATATTCAATAACACCGGAAAATTTTCCTCCGGCAACTTTCATCACGAAAACTATCAAGAAACATCCACTCTATCGAATTCCACATCAACTCATGCCACCGATGAAACCTTATGAAATCGAAGTAGGAGAGAATTGTTGATGGAAATCGAATGATCATCAACTTTGCCATTTAGATTATGTTTTGGGGTTTACGAGAGTGTCGATCGATTGGCTTTCAATCGATCCAACAAGCTGAAGTGACGATCGAATGTGCAGGTGAACGAACAATGAGAACAATCAAAGATGTGCAAAAATATCCGAATTTTTCGGTCTCAACCGGTCAACCGGATATTTATATCCTTCGTGTTGTAAGACAAGAAAAACAGATATTGAAAAATCTCCTTCCGATTTTGCTTTTCTATAGAATTTACCTGACGATAATAAATTCTGGCCACATTTAAGCATTCTTTGTGTGCAAAATCGGCTCTTTGGAATGAAAGAGATCGTCGGAAATTTAGTTGTCACTGATTTACAAAAGTTTCTTGATCGACCATTTAAACAACTTTCACCAACTGAAGAAGCGTTGGCCAATGCGATTAACGAAATGTCGAAAACAATGCCCTATGACTTCAATCGCGTCCGAAAGTCAATTGTTGACGCCTACGAAGGTTCGCTGGCATTTATCAACTTTTTAAGGAATTTATCTAATCATTTGATTATTTTAGCCGCCTTAGCGTCGAAAAATAAAGATATTGGTAAGGAAAAACTAAGTAAATTCGAGAAGGAAGCTGGCAAAGACGCCAATGACCGGGAAAGTCAACGTGCGATTATCGAGGATGATGCATTATCTCAAACAAAAGTACGAATTTGATATCAGTTTATGCATCGGAAAGAATCTTTGTTTCTGATTTGAGGAGGACGATGACGAAAACAAGGAGTCCGGTGGTAAAAAGTCCAACGAACTACAGGAGATGACAAGTGCTGACGAATTATCACCGAGTGATGAACTGGGTAATCGAGTTTTAAAAACCGTTGAGAAGATCAAACGAGACGAAATGGAAAAGAACGCCGGATGGTGGAACAAATACTACGCATCGAAAGCCAGACTTGTATGACATTTTTACTCTAAGCGTCTCTCATTCTTTTGTTTAAAGAGATTGCAACAACGAGCGAATGCCGAACTCTTCGAAGAGCCGACAGACACCGCCATTGCTTATGCAGATTTTTACGATGGTCGACCAAGTTCGTTCGAAGGGAATGGATTTGATGGAAAACGAGATGTGTTTTCTTTTGTGTAGAACGTCCGACCAGTCGAACGTTGGCTTTATGGACGTCAGTAAAGAAAATCTTTTCACAAGGTGGAAAAGCACAGAAAACGTTCAATCGTCTCAAAGCTGCACAGTTCGATCAATCCGAAAACGATAACAAAGTAAAAATAGACGAAAAGTTTGTCATGTCATTCGATTCTTTTTCAAAAAGAAAAAAACAGCGTTCGATGAAAGTTTGGACAGTATAGAAACTGATCGATTGAAACAATTAACATTGCTCCAAACATTCGATGTGAGTTTATTCAGTTCTCATGAAAGAACATTTCGATCTATTTCCATTTAGATCGTCGAAACATCGTTGGAAAATGTGTTTGATTATGAAGGATTCAACGACTGTTTAGACACTTTTGCTTTGTAAGTTTATCCACAAATTCACTCATTTCATAATAAAAATTCGATTGATTTACAGATACAAAGGAAAAGGTTCGAATCGTTCCGACGAAACCGGTGATGACAAACGAATCTATGCGAAATTCAAGGTAACGATTTCAAATATTCGACAATCGAATGTCGTTTGTTTTGTTAGGGGAAACTTCGTATTCGAGAATTATCCTCTCCTACAACCATTGGACTACAGCGAGCAAGTACGGATCCTCGTTCATCAGTGTATCCAGTTGCTGTGACCGATGATCCTCGGCAAGTAACCGAAAATATTTATAATCGAACAAACCAACAAATGGGAACATTTAATCTAAACGAAAATCGCATAACATTGAAATGTCGATTGTATCTTATCAAAGCAACGCTGTACCGTGGATGGGATGCGTCAGGCAAAGCTGATCCGTTTATTAAGATAGCTTTAAATGACACGACGATCATCGATGATACCAAAGGGAAACTTCATAATACTTTAGAACCAGTTTTTGGAAAGTAAGACACATTGACTGAGAAAACAAATGATGAATTGTGAAATTCTTTCATTTAGATGCTATGAATTCGATGTCACTATCCCAACGCAGAATTTGTTACGTGTTCAAATCTGGGATTGGGATATGACCAGTTCAAATGATATCATCGCAGAAACAAAGATCGATGTCGAGAATCGATTTTTTTCATGTCATCGTGCCACATGTGGTTTGCCAAATCGTTACGATAGGTAAACGGTATGTTGTTTTTCTTACATAACGTATCCACTTGTTTCAGTGCGGGTTACAATGCTTGGCGTGATACGAAAAAGCCGACGACAATTCTTTCCGAATTGTGTCAGACAACGTCACTGGCAAGTCCAAAGTACTCCGAGAATTTTCAATCTGTTCAAATCGGTGATAAGCGTTTTCAATGTGATCCTGCATGCGTTGAGTTTGTTCTAAATGCTAAATCTGCGACAACGACACTGCATCGAAAAGTTCATCATGAATCACCAGATGAATACATTCAACAAAACACCGCCTTGACCGCACTTCGTGCTTGGGGAAGAAAAGTAAATCCGGTAAGAAAAAAAAAGCAGCTTTTGGCCTATAGAAAAGATCCTGCTTTTAGAAATGTGCGTTAGTCGCTGAACATATCGAGTGTCGGCCATTGTATAATGATGAATTTCCGGATACCGAACAAGGCAAATTAGAAATGTGGTTGGATATGTTTCCTATGTCTCGTCCGCCATCGAGTTCTCCGATTGATATATCACCTGTGAAACCAGTGTCTTATCAGTTACGCTTGACGATTTGGAATACAAATGATGTGGAATTGAATGATGAAAATTTTGTTACGGGTGAAAAATCTTCGGATATTTATGTGAAAGCGTGGATCTTGGGAGAAAATATCGATTCACAGCAAACCGATATTCATTATCGGTAAGTTTAGAGAAGTTTTTTCCAAAGTTACTTTGAACTTTGATTGCAGATCATTGACAGGCGAAGGCAATTTCAATTGGCGATTTGTGTTTGATTTTAATTATTTAGAAATCGAGGAGAAAATTGTTTACGAAGCGAAAGATTCTGTTTTTCAAGTTGGAAACACAACAAAAAAAATCCCACCACGAATCGTCATCCGTGCTTACGACGCAGATCTTTTATCCGCTGATGATTTTCTCGGTTTGTTTTCGAACTATTCATACTAAAATTGAATGATTTTATCTAGGTGAATGTATTCTCAATTTAACACATTTTCCACACGGAGCAAAAGCAGCGAATAAATGCAAAGCGAATATTGTATTGAATTCAAAACATCCATCAATCAATTTGTTTACTAATAAGCGTCTTGCCGGTAAGAAGAAATCAAATTAGGAAAGGGTTGTAGAAGACAATGTGTTTAGGTCATTGGCCAATGATTGCTCCTGCGGCAGAAGGTGTTATTCGAGATAAAGATATGTTAGGTGTAAGTAAATGGGAAAGATAGAAACTGTTCTAAAGAAGAGCTTGTTGTTGTTGTTAAGGGCAAAGTGGAAGCGGAGTTTCAATTGCTGACAGCGGAGGAAGCTCAAAAGAATCCAGTTGGAAAAGGGCGTGAAGCACCACAACCACTTGACGAACCAAAGTTTGAAGTTTTGTTTCTAATAAAATCTATGCATTTACTTTTCCTTTCAGTCGACCGAAAACATCTTTTCTTTGGTTTACATCACCATGGAAAACCTTACGTTATGTTATCTGGCGTAATTTCAAATGGCCGATCATCATTGGAATTATTGTCGTCATATTTGTTATCTTTTTTCTACTTGCTATTTGGTCATTACCTGGTCAAATTATTGCTCAAGTTACACAGAAAATCTTCGGAACTTCTAGCGGATGAGCTTGTTCTTTCGTATAAATCTTTGATATCTATATCGAGTACATTTGTCAGTGAGTTTTAAATTATAATTTATTAAATCAAAATGTTTTATATTTCTGTTCTCTGCAAAAAGAACTGATGATTTCCTAAATGATATACAAAAGTAGACAGAGAAAAAAGTGTGCATTTAGATCGCCTCGCAATGATGTAGAAAAAAAACACTTCGCGAATAGGATCATAGGCTAGCATAGAGATTCATTATTAATGCCTTATCAATGCACTCCATTAATGAGTCAGGATACCATACGACATCTTTCTCCAATAATGATTCATTGGACTTGTTTCTGTCAAGATGTCAATGTACCCATGTCATTGCACAATATAAAAACAGATCGATGAAAAAAGAGAATCCATTGCTTTTAATTCATGTCTCGAAGTCAGTTAACTAGTTTTCGATGGAATGGTACGGAGTGGTCTCCATCCGATGGTTCACTTAATCTTTCTCCACGAAATGAACCAATCCGTGTAGCAACATGGAATATTCTCGCTGATTGTTTTCCATGGTTTATTGAAACAGCGGTAAGAAGCAGCGAGCGATATGAATGGCTATGTGATGGTATTACCAAACTGAATCCTACTATTCTCGGTTTAAATGAAGTCAGTCCAAATGCATTAGAACTATTACAAAAATGCCCGTTCATTCGAGAAAATTACTTTCTCACCGAATCCGTAGACGAAAAAGTCGACGGAAGATGTGTAAATGCAACACTCGTGCCACATGGCTGTCTTATTTTGAGTAAATTACCAATCCTGGAAGTGTTTGGAATACCTTTTACGGATAGTCGACGTGAAGCAATTACTGTCAAAGTACAATTGGATAAAACTCCCGTTTATTTTTGTTCTCAACATACGAAGGCACGTCAAACAGCAGAAAGAGCACAACTACGCTACAGACAGATATGCGATGTTATTGATGCTTTACAAGCACTTGAATCTCCATTTGTTCTCATGGGCGATTTAAATATTTATTACCAATACGAAGATTCAGTAACTGTAGAAAATGAGCTCGTCGATGCTTGGGCTCAAACGCATTTCTCTCGTATTCATCCATTTAATGATGGCGATGAAGGATATACGTTTGATAGTATAAAAAATACTCTCATCCCATACTACGTTCCTGGTGCTTGTCGACAACTGCGACTCGATCGTATTCTCTTCTCTAAAGGATTCCCTGCCTTCGCTATTGCTCCGTGTATGTTATGGGCCAATGAAGCTATCAAAGCTGAAGATTATCTTTTCCCAAGTGACCATTTCGGGCTTTCTATCGATATCGTTCCTGAAGTAAACGAGAAATATACGGATGTGATCTCATTAGGTGAACCCGATCCATCTGCAAATGAAATTCTTCGTCAGAGGGCAGAAAACAAAGCCGACCAGGGACCTTATCGTCACGGAATTGTACGAAGAACAACGGCACTAGCATCTCATCTGGTTTGGATTGGTGCTAAATCTGTTGGTCTTAAATAGAAATCATTACTTGTCTGACTTGTACTTTTTCTCGAAAAATATACTCCAGCACTCTTTTCACATCTGACTTTGAATCTTATAATATAAGAGACAAGGGGATTGTAGTTGAGTACGTCTAAAACGACATCTTCTCGCGTTGAGTCATAGTCGTTCGTTCTGTGTTATTGCACAAACCAGCAAAATGACGTATTTGCTCTGTCGATGAATCAAAGCAGCTAAGTCATTGCGAGTAGAGAAAATGTAGATCGCTTGCATTTACAGTATGTCTCGACGCCAGTTAACCAGCTTTCGGTGGAATGGAACTGAATGGTCCTCATTCGATGGTTCATCTAATCTTCATGATGAAGAAAACGAAATCACTCGTGTAGCGACATTCAACGTTCTCGCTGATTGTTTTCCATGGTTTATTGAGATGGCTATACAAAGTAATCATAGATTTGAGTGGTTGTGCAATGAAATTATCAAACTCAACCCTACTATTCTTGGATTAAATGAGGTCACTCCTAATGTTTTGGAACGACTACAAAAATGTTCATTCATTCGAGAAAATTACTTTCTCACCGAATCCGTAGACGAAAATATCGACAGAAAGTGTGTTAATGGTTTATTAGTACCACATGGCTGTCTTATTTTGAGTAAACTGCCAGTACTGGAAGTGTTTGGAATATCTTTCACAGAAAGTCGACGTGAAACAGTTGTTGTCAAAGTACAGTTGGGTAAAACTCCTGTTTATTTTTGCTCTCAACATACGACTGCATATCAACGACCGAAGAATGCCAAACTACGAGCTCGACAAATACGGGATATTGTTGATGTTCTACAACCATTCGGTCTTCCATTTGTGATTATGGGTGATCTGAATCTTCATTATAATTATGAAGATTCAATAGTTATTGAACACGAATTTACTGATGCCTGGGCGCAAACACATTTTGCTCGTACTCATCCGTTCAACGATGGTCAGTCTGGATACACATTCGACGCGAAAAAAAACACTCTTATTCCTTATTATATTCCTGGTGAATGTCGGCAGATGCGACTCGATCGAATCCTCTTTTCTAAAGGATTTCCTGCTTTTGCTATCGCTCCGTGTATGCTTTGGGCAAATGAACCTATCAAAGCTGAAAATTATCTTTTTCCGAGTGACCATTTCGGACTATGCATTGACGTCGTACCTACGACGGGTGAGAATCAGACAGAAGTGATGTCGTTGGGCGAATGTGATCCATCTGCTGATGAACACCTTCGTCGAAATATCGAAAACGATACCGATCGAGGTGATTTTCAGATTAGTTTCGCACGGAGATCAATGGCACTCACATCACATCTTCTTTGGCTCGGCGCCAAATCTGTTGGTCTCCGATAAACAGCGTCATTCAATCAGCTTCTATTTATTTAAACTTTTTTATACGCAATAACCGAACATAAGCCAGAATAAAACAAATAAATGCCATGATTCCTATAAAGACTAAATTTTTCCATAGATCCCAACCGTTTTGATAGGGAATTTTGCGTTTCAATAAAACTTCTTCGCCTTTTATTGGACAAATCTGACTATCATCAGATAAACAAAAGGTTAAATTACCAAATTCATTGATTGTTAACAAATTTGACGAATATCGAATGGCACTAATCCATTTAATCCATCGTAAAGCAGAAAATATACTTTCCAAATCCACGAGAAAACCACTGACAACCATCATTATGGAAAAAACCAATATTGATACTATCAGGGCTACCGCTAAAACAAAACTTCAATAAAAAAAACAACCAATTCTTGTTTTTTCGCCTACCAAAGACAGGAATACACGCTGCGATTAGAAAGCACAATGCCGATCCGAATACCGAGGAGAGAAAAATCGTGATAAAAAACGTCAAAAATCGATTGAACGAACGTTGGAACCCCATCAAAGGATATGCGACCATTGCAAATACGCACGTCGGTATCACACGCATGGGAATCAGATCACAAACTAATTTTGCTAAAAAATATGTCACAACTCGATAATATCCACTGGTAATCTCCTAAGAAAACACCACATTTTCATCTTTTTCCCTGAAAAGTAGAACTTTACGTGACTGAATAAAATTCGTTCTTTAATCAAAGGTTCCAAAGCACTTGCCGTACAGAGAATTTGATGTGTTGCAAGAAAGAAAATCGCTCCAATACGATTGAATATTCCCGGTTCGATCGTTGTTTTCATATTGTAAAACAATAAACCAGTAAGTAGACCTAAAGTGAGCGCGATGAAGATTTGCGTGATATTTAACAAGGGATTTCGTATTGCATTTCGAAAAGTTCGTTGGGAAAGATAATAAAATTCGAGGAAAGCTGAACGGGAAAGGTATTGCTCGAATAAGAGGGGTCGATCGGTCGTTTGGGCATTGATCGATTGTATCAATGATAGATTGTTCGAGTGCATTGGGGATTGAAGATAAGCATTGGAAAGTAATTGAGAAGAGACGTTCTTCGAATCGATTAGAATATCGAGAATAAAATCAGCGGGATTGGTATTTTCTTCGCACGAAAATCCATGTGAAGTAAAATATGATAGAATATTTTTTGGAGAATCGAAATAAACTGTATGACCATTAGATAGCAGAAGAATTCGATCGAAGAGCTTGAATATCGAATAACGCGGTTGGTGAATCGAGAAAACAATCGTTCCTGAAATAAATCTTCGCATAGAAATCAATTCAACCGCGAAAATTTACTTCCTTGTCTTGAAAGTTTGTGTAAACAATTGATAACATTCTGTGCTGTTGACGCATCGAGTCCTAAAACACCACACAATTGTGGACACATCAAAGAACGTTTCACATTACCCGTTGTTGGTTCATCTAAGAAGAGAATCTTGGGCGAAAGAATCAATTCCATTCCAATACTCGTTCGTTTTTTCTCTCCACCGGATATTCCCCGAACAAAATCTGTCCCAATCAAAGTCTCAGCACACATCTCAAGGTCCAATTGATCGATGATTTCATTCACTCGTTCGATCCGTTGATCGAAAGAAAGACTTTTCTGCAGACGAAGATTCGCGGAAAACATCAAATTTTCTCGAACAGTCAATGTTCCACTGATCACATCTGCAAAATAATTCAATCATCGAGAAAATCAATCGATTTCACCTCATACCCTCTTGAAGAACATATCCGATACAATATTTGTAATTCTTCGGTCGAGTTTGTCCATTAATAAGAATATTTCCTGTCAAACCATGAGTATCTTTTCGATCAGCAAGAATATCGAGAAAAGTTGACTTTCCACAGCCCGTAGGTCCTGACAAATCGACTTTATGAATCGAAGTTTAAATAAAAAGAGTATTTACCTAGAATGGCGTTCATTCCTGTGGTAAAAACACCTGACAGATCGAAGAGAATTTGTTTTTTCGACTTGGATTTACCAAATGAGAACAATCGATTTCCATTGTCTTTTGTTTGATCAACTAAATAATTGATTTTCTCATAGGAAATATTCATGACGGGTGAGAAATCAATTAGATTCTGGTTTTCATCCTTTTCCATTGTTAATCTGATTACTTCACTCATCTAAAAACACCAAATTGTCGCGAAACATCATCTCATCACGTTGTCATTCAACATTCTTCTTATCATTCACTTCAACTCGATAATAAAAGTCAAAAGGTCCACTTTTGTTATCTCAAATTCACCAGAGAGAATATGAAGCAAGATATTCTTCTTTAAACAATTCATTTTTGCAAAATTTATTCATGAAATTCCAGTATGAAAGAAGAAAAGTTTTATGTATAATCAATCAGTCAAACAAACAAGAAAAACGAAACAAATTTCTTTTGAAAAAAAAACCATGCAAACATCCGTTTATGAACCAGATAGATTCATTTTCATCGATTCGTCAATTAAATTTATCAATGATTCATTCGATTTATATTCGTCAAAAAGTTCTTTGTTCAACGCTGCGATATAACCGGTATTTTTTAACCAAGGGATGATAATCAGACAAAAGATTGTACTTAGAATCGTTAAAATCGTAAAAATCCAAAATAATAGACGATCCATAATCAACGCCATGAGTTTCCACTCGTTGACAACTTCATTTCGCTCTTCTTCTTGTTTTTGTCTATCAATCAACCGCTTCAAATGTTTTTCTAAGAGAAACATATTTGAATTGAACAATTCGTAATGAGACGAAGTATTGGAATTTCTCATGCACGGAATTTGATGCGATTGTTCGGGAATAAGTACGATTTGTGGAACACGTGAACGCGATCGATGGTGATGATGATGACGAACATGTGCTCGTTTTGCTGTTCGGACATCGCCGTTAGCAAGTGAAACATTCGGTAAGAATTGTTTCAGTTTTCCTTCTTCATCTTCTTCTTCATTATCGTCATCAAGGGTTTCTTCGCGATAGCGCGCGTCTAAAATAAAAATAATCAGCGATTTATGATGTTCATAAAGAGAAGTTGATCGGTCAATGAGAGACTTTCTGAAGAGGAAATATACCTTTTCTAAGTTTGTTGTTTGGTTTCTCCATCGGATATTTCTGATGATTAACAATCAGTGGTGTACCCAATGGTTTCGCATCTGTTTTGCTAAAACATCGATAAACTTCATCCGTGTCGGTCAAGTGATGTTCTTCTGCATAGATTCGTACGATTTTTCTCATACCAACTAACGGAGCGACGTATCGAACTAACGTGTATTTAAATGAATAAGGGATAGGAATAACAACCGGACCCGAATGATGTAATTGAAGGACATAAACAGTCAAGACGATTGATAAGGAAGTTAAGGCCATGACAACAGTTAAATAGACTTCAATTAATGGAACCATTTCACTTGTTGCTGGCATTGATTCCGCAATTAGTAACATAAAAACTGAAAAAGCCAGAAGGACAGTTATACCAAGTGTAATTTTCTCTCCCGAATCCGGCGGAAGCCAAAAGCCGAGAAGAGACAGTATTGAAAGCCATATACAAGGAAATATTATATTAAATAGATAGTACAGCACTCGCCGACGAATATGAACTAGATTAAAAGAAAATAATGACAAGTCATTTTCCTCAGGTATATTCTTTACCATAAATTGTCACATCAGGATAATAAATTCCTGGACAACACGGGTATGTGACATCATTTCGTCTGATGTCAATGTTAACGATATGCCATTCACCTGACCGGATGTAATTCGCCATGTCAACAGTGTCTCTTCTTTTGGTTAAATTAACCTGTGCTGCATCATACGACCAGGAGCCAAATTTTAACTTACATAGTTGATCTATTTGTTCATGATAGGGAAAAAAAGCAGAAAAATCAGTTTTCGCCTTTGGCAAAACGAGAACGTTACCATCAAACGGAAAATAAGTCACGTCAATTTTACATGACGAGCGAAATTTGGCCGGTGGAGGCCAAAAAACATGCCCGGTGCTTTCAACCATCGCTTTACTTTGGTAAAAACCTTGAGTATAATCATCAGCAGAATTATATAGGACAATATCAGGTAACCAAATCTTTGAACAGGGTAAACGAAGTGTTGATAAACCATTAAAATCCGATGCATTCCAAATTAATCGTTGATCAAACCATTCCTAAACACGTTCGTTCCGAAGTAATTTTCAAGGTAAAGTACAACTGACCTGTTCAAGCCAAATATTTGTTGTTAAAATCTGGTTTTTCTCGTCCTAAGAAAGAAAAAAGTACACCAATGGAATTATTCATTGACAAAATCCGATTATCTCCAAAGAAATCTGCTTTTCTTGTTCTATCCATTGAATTTTTCATTATATAAACAGATTTATCAAGTTCCGGCTGATCGGTCTGACACACAAATACGTCTTATGTTCACGTACCATATCGCTTAATTGTGTTAACGAGATTCCGAATGCAACGCTGACTGTATTCGACGCATTGTAAACAGGTCGCGCTGACGGATCGTAGTTTCTTAATAGATACGCCATGAGACGTTGCTCATCGGGAATTGAATCAGAATCATTAAGAGCTAAATAATAATATGGATATTGATGATAGTTAAACATCGGTGGCATCTGTTGAAAAGATTTCGAAGATGCCGAATAAGCTGATGTGCCTCTATTCGGCATTTTTAAACTTGTAAGAACACTTGATGAAGAATAATCAAGCAAAATAATTATGAAAATAGACAAGAGAAACATGGCCATAATTAGATTGAACAACTAAAGAAACTTTCTCATTTATTTCACACTAACATCAGTCATATTGAAAAGGAAAAACAGATACGAGAAAAGAAGATAGAGAAAAGAGAGGAAATAGATCGACATTAAAGGTAGATTTTCTTCTACGAGACAAAAAAAAACGATAGAAATAGTAATTACCGTCGTTATCTATATAATCATTATTAATTTGAATTTTTCTGTATATGCTTACCGTAGTCATACCAAGAATTCATGTCATCAAGAGACCAGGGATTTCCCCACGCATTTTGCTGATTACCAATGGATCCTCCATGTGAACCCGAAGATCCTGAGCCAAGTGTCCGTTGGGAAGAATAATGTCCGCCTCCCGGTTTACAAATCACTTCATCGAAATGTAAAAACACAATTTCTACACAAATCAACACTATCACTGATACTTTCCGTAGCATCTTGTCGACTCGACGCACATCTTCTATTACAAACAGCGTCAATAAAGATCTAATTATATCTAAAAACAATTCGCAAATGTTGATATAAAATACCGCTACAGGCCATTGTATATTTCATCCATCCAACTTCTTATTCGGTAGATTAGAATCACATTAAAGATGACATAATCTCAAATAAACATTTGTCGAAGACAATTTAGATCGTTTATTTATATAAGAAAAGAAATGATCTATTTCGTAAGAAAAACCATTCAACAAAATATACTTGTTGTCAATGATTAGAAAATTGATGATTTTCTCGATTATCATCAGCCGGAAGATTCTTCCCTTTCGCTCTTTACAAACATAAAACTACCATCATCATCAAAATCACCTCCAGGCACAAACGTCATTCACAAGAAATACTCAGTTAGAAAGAAAAGGTAGACTCAGATTGCCAACGTATGACAAAAGAAACGATTGTTTCTTGAAATTGTCTGAAAGGTTCGTCATTTGAATAACGTACGACGAACATAAAAATAGATATTAATTATTCAGGATAATTTGATTCGGTACTTTTGAAAAGAATTTTCTATTTAATGTTTAATTATAGAAGAAAAACTAATAATCTTACCAAAACAATGAAGATCAAAGCGAAGTGGACTTTGTTGAAGTGATAATGAATAGTTTATTGTAATCGTCATTCTAATTCGCAATTTTTCTCTTTTTTTTCCTTTTCTTTCTGAACAAGATCGATTTTTTTTATCGTAACGTCGAACGACAAAACGCAAAGAAAAGCATCATTTCTTTTCTTTTTCTCTCTATCTTCGGTTCAACAAAAATCAATTTGATTAGATTCATTCATATTTTATCATTTATAATCATCAAAATCTACATGTCTGTTTTCTATTCATTACAATATGATTAACAAGTCAATTTATAAAATATTATCATCTATCTTCATCGCAAAATCATTGACATCATTCGACAAAACAGTAGAAAGTGGACTTTCTCTTTGTACTAAACTTGATTAATGATTTTTGATACTTTTTATCCGATGAATCTTCTCTCAGTGGCAAAGAAAGAAAAGCATAACATACTTTCTTCTTGACGATGTTGAATTGACGCGCGTGAAAAACGATCTGGTCAATGAATGAGAAGCCTGAAGATTTTAATCGAACAAAAAGAGTAAATCTAAAGTGTCACTTCTACTCGGACTCTTGATTTTTCTACTTAACTGAAGAATCTTCAACAATAATTTAGTTTTTCTCGTTTCTAAATCGTCAACAAAATAAACACCATAAGAGTTTTCAATGGGATAATTTGTTAAAGATATCGAACAAGTCCGACGATAAAACAGAATTTGTTTACCTCTTGAATCTCAAATACGATTTTCAACCTTTCAGCTTGCCGTTTCATCGCCAGTCAATCAACAGAACGTTGAATTACTTCTTGAAAACAAAAAATCAAACGCTGTTGCGATGAAGTTAACTTGAATGTAAATGATGTTCTTCTCCGAAAAGTCTCTAAATGGCAGACATATACCATATTGAATAAGACGAACTTTTTTCTATATTTACGTGTATTAATAAGACCATTTTGTTGTCTTCGTGGGTGTCGCGACAAGAAACGATGAAAATGACACAATTATCCATTTGTTACGTGTTATTAAACAAATAATCATATTTTAAACAAACAGCCGTTAAAAAGAAGGCTCCTATTTTTTCTTGGAAATATACGTTTTAAATTCGTTAATTTCTGCACTTTTAAACACATTAAAACATCCTCATGTTTGATTTTATCGACCAATGATTTAACTCTCTTAACGAAAAACGACACAGACTTACTCACAGATGCGGAATAACCTTCATCTCGTCTAGAGACAATTTCCTGATTTTCATAAGTAATTCTTCAAATGAATTAATTCCTCGCTTAACAGCGAAAAAAACAACATTTTGTGTTTCATTTTCACTTAAAACAGTATTGGTACCTCTCAAGTAGACTAACGCAAATAGTGTTTGTTATGCCTAATAATTCTGCTGATTAAGGTTATTTATATCGTGGAACATGTTGATTTGAATAGGAAATTTCTTTTGTTTAGTACATTTCTTTTCGTTTTCACTTAAAAATGTCGTACTCATCTCAGAAAGACTTTGACAGAGGATGATTACCGTTTCTTACCATCCCTTTGTCAGTGTCAATCTTTGAAATTGATGTCTGCATGAACACACTTGAACGTCGCACGACCTGACCTTATCTAATCTCATCTACTTGAAAAAAAACAACAGCATTTCTTCAATCATTTCTCTTAGTAATTCCTTTTCTCCTTCATCCAATAAAAAAAAATACGTGAAAGAGAAAAACTTGATCATTCTGTTCAAAAGTTATCGTACACCGGATTCGAAATATTCATTAGTACAGGAAATCACTAAAACGTTCTTCGTCTAGTTCATACAATCGTTCAATGGTAATCACTCATAAGAGAGAAAAACCTATTACTAAATATCCTTTCGGCGAATGGGACCTATTTTTCGTAAGTAAACACACTTCAATACTCGAAAAACCTTACATCAAAGACTGAAATGGAGTATTGCTAGATCCTATACTCAAATCACATCATCGTTCATATTTTCAATGAATGATTAGAAATATAGAGAATGATAGCCTGAGAGAAAGATGAAAAATCTTTCATCAAGGTAGAGAAAAGAAAAGGGAAGATTGATGTGAAGATAGCACGACAGATTTAGACTAACCCTAACTTCTAAACGATACATTGTCAGAACAATTTTATACAGATCATGCTCTCTGATCATGTACTATTTAGATATTGAAACTCATCTGAACCTGTCTCGATCTATGCTGAATTGAGCTCTTAAATGAAAAGATCATTCAAATTATCAGAAGTAGAACAAACCTTGATAAAGTTTCATTTGGAATATATCAATAAATGTACTTAGTAGTTTCCCAATCGACAAAAACAATGAACCCGGATGATTGTGTTATTTCCTAACACGTTAAGCAAAGTAATAAATATTAAGACAAGACTTTTGTTTTTTTCAATCAAGTCTCCTTTCGTAAAGATTTTGTGGAATCTTTAATTCGTTCAAGTTTTGCTGCACCAGACAAAACATAATATATAGATCGAATTTATCATTTCAATGACGAAAACAAAAAACCACAAAAGTTTTGACGTTTATCTTTTCAGTAAACTATAGGTATTTGAATAAGATGCACAAAAGTAGTTTCTTTATTTAAAAAAATACGAAAAAAGATAAAATAGAGAATGACATGTTGTTGCCTCCATTGACAACGGTTGGAATTTTCCAACTTGCAGAAAAAAGTCCAGTACAATGACCATATTTAAATGAAGTAATGTTGATCATAACTCTATGATAGCTGGAATAACTAAATCGAATATTAAGAGCGAAAATTCATCGATAAATCTACTTCGACTTGAAGTCCTTCCCGATGAAATTTTCCAGTGCGTTGACCCTATCGATCTTCGTAACTTCAAAGGTCTCAACAAACGGATTGACTGTCTTATTGATTCTGTGAAAATGAATATTGTGATTCAAAGACAAGAAGACTGTGACCTTGATTATATATCAAATTTTGCTTCAACACAAATCATTCGTTTGGAAATATGTGACTATTGCTTATCGCTAAGTTTTCGTGAAACGATCGAACTTCGTTCACTTACATTTAATTGCAGTTATCTTCTGGAAGAACAGTTAAGTCAAGTAATCTCAACAATAGAAGGATATTCACTTGGAAAACTATCTTTTACATGGATTGATTTAGATAACCAAGGTCAATCTACCTCGTCTAGAAAGACTGTCTATTGATGATATACCGTATAGTCTACAAGAACCGGTATTTGATGTTATCTTTCAAAGTGAACAATTTGTCGTCTTAGTCTGCCAGATGATTATCATTTGAAATTCGATAAGAAACAATCATCATTAAAAAAACAATACATTTCATTGTCTTGTTATTAATCATTGGAATTATTTCGATCTTGATTATCTCTTGTATCAACTACATAGTCGACGCAGATTCGCAACAGAGTTTGACGATTTTTATGTTTTCGGAAATTATTCGGTCACACATCATTTAGCGTTCAAAATTTGACGAGTTACACCCAATGATCCATTAAAATGATTTAGAAAAATTACTCAAATGGACATCTAATCTTACTCGATTGCGAGTTCGAGGAAATCTTGGAAGAAATCCTGCAATTAACTATTTTCAGAAGATTACCGAGTTTCTACTTACTTCTCTTCAATGCTTTGATTGCGAACTTTACTGCTATTCACTTGACTCGAGAGAAAATGAATCTGTTCTACAGCAACTTCACATACTTTTCAAAAAAGTTCGATGTCTCTCTAGACGAGCTCGCAATCAATGCTATTCAACAATGAATATGAAGGTGAATATTTTTATTATGATCAAAGTAAGTTTGTGTTTATTGTACACAGAAGTTTTCGACATTCTATATCAACATAGCGACATGATCGCATATTCATGTCTGCAGTGCTTTATCTTCTGAAATTACACAATTGATTTATTTTATCTATTTAGAATCTTTCCCACGTTTCTCGTCTGCACAACCAGGTCCAATGTATCCCTACTACTCAGATGAACCTGATGATTATGATAAGGAAGACAAGTCATGGTCAAGAAATGAGTATGGAAATGGACCAGATATTTATTGGAATGCTGAATCAGAGAAACGGTGTTCACTATCGTAATGTTTTATACGAGTAACACATACAGAAAAAGAACAAAACTTACTGTTTTAATGACACTCCGTTGGATCAGTATTCATAAATATGAATTGTGGCACGTGATGAGCCAGATATACCTTATTAGATCATTGTTTATTGAAAATTAAAATAATATGTATATCGTTTAAGTTATTTTCCTCCCAAACTATTATTAATCGAAGAAATCTCGTGCAACTACAACTACTTTTTTCACATTTGGTTATATAACACAAACTGAATTAAAATTGTGAGATGTAGATGTCCGTAAATAAAGCATTTTATCTGTAATTACTCAAACCTTCATGTCCATATCACCTAACTGCTCTTCACACTGATTATTAAGACGTCATCGGTCCTGAAAGGATCAAATCAATAAAAAAACTGAAGGCATAAGTCAAAATATGATGTAAGAGTTCGTATCAAGAGCATTATTATGATTAAGTATTTTTCAAAGCATATAATGAATAACTGAATTCGCTGGAAATGTTTTAGTTCGATGTGATTATTATGTTCTTTTTCTCTGCAATGTCTAATTTTAGAATGATAGTCTGGTCCGATTTTGTTCCTGTCGGTTCGTGTGATGACTCATCGTCTCGGCAGCTTTATGTTTTTACTTCTCTCCTACACAAGAAAAAAAAGACGAGATATACAGTAAAATATCGATGATTGTGAAAGAGGCGCAATAGATCATCTCAAAGATGCATTTTGTTTTGAGATGCCTCATACCAAATATATGAATATAATATCACAAAGTACAGCGGTAAGTCATTTTCTAGAAGCTAAGAGAATTACAAGAGTACTCCCTCATTTTTGACACTGATTAACGCCAAACAGAAGCTGCAATCGACAAACTAAATTTCCATTTTAGATTATAGAGAAAGACATCAGCAGATAAATTCGTTTTTATTAGATAAATTTTGTTGAAAACCGTTCTCCAGAATGTGTAAATTGCCATAAATATTGATTACCAGAAAATTTAACTGACGAGGGAACATATTTAGGTGATTAAGCTATTTAGATCCCATCTTTTGGTGATAGATAGACCTCAATGAGGTATGAAAAACCTCAAGAGGATTCGTGCCCTCGCGCCTTTGTTCCACAGATATTGAGTTCTCAAGATGTATACGAAAAGAGACTGAAATGAAGGATGATCGTTTTTATAGAACAGTAGAGTTTTCAGGTGAAAACTTGTTCCAGTTTTGTGCACCGCTTGTATAATCCACTCTGGGTTATGAGTTACATCATATCTTATTAATATCACGTCTACTCAATGTTCATTGACTCATGGAACTATCAGATTTCTTCACTTCACATCCAATATTGTTATACACCAAAAAATGATTGCTGGAAAGAATGATGACAGTCTATCGGTTATCTTCGTTTTCGTGTTCTTTGCGAGCGTACCATCACGTCTTCTTGATAACTATTTGACGTTCGTATTCGATGGTTTCACTCTTCGTCAGTTATTTTTTTCTTCTATTCTTTCTCTCATCTTTTATTTGTACCACGAGGTTACTCTTTTCTTTATTCGATTATATACGATATACGGGTGGCATACAAACAAGCAACTGATATAAGTATTTCCGCGTCCATTTCGAAATGATCAATTCAGCAAATGTGGTAAAGATTTGCGTTGATCGAGCACCAAACTCATTGTCGTCCGTCGCCTCAGCCACCTCAACCGTCACATATCGTGAATGTGAAGTAGCCGAGCTGTTGTGTGGTGTACTGGAATCGATTAGTAACAGTCACTCCCATTCCATTGAAGTGGAAACAACCCTTGATCATGAACTAATCGATGACGAATTGATTGATGATGTCGAGGATGAGATGCAGATGAAGACACATGGGATTCCGACTGGAATCATAATGATGAAGATAAGGAGCTGTGCAAACAATTTTTACTTGATTATATGACCAAGGCAATCAACTTCTATGACGAGATTAATCCTCACACTAGGAAACGAAAGAGACGCTGGGAGACAGTAAAACATCAATTTCGACGTATTCCGCATCAAAGCTATCTCGCTCGATTTCGCCATTATCTTGAAAAACATGGAACGAAGAAACAAAAGCTCGAAAAAATCAATAATTATATATTTGATATGTTCGAACGGACTCGGAAGAATGCACTACCACTGCACGATATTGATCTACGTGAATGGACTCTTAAAAGAGTTACACCCTCGCTCAATGAGTAGACGTGATATTAATAAGATATAATCCAACTCATAATCCAGAGTGGATTATACAAGCGGTGTACGAAACCGGAAAAAGTTTTCACCTGAAAACTCTACTGTTCTATAAAAACGATCATCCTTCATTTCAATCTCTTTTCGTATACATCTTGAGAACTCAATATCTGTGGAACAAAGGCGCGAGGGCACGAATCCTCTTGAGGTTTTTCATACCTCATTGAGGTCTATCTATCACCAAAAGATGGGATCTAAATAGCTTAATCACCTGAATATGTTCCCTCGTGAGCACAATGTCTACCTCAGATCCGTAGTCCTTTTCATAATAAGCAGCACCTTTGTTGCTATGAGTGCTGCGACTCCAAAGACCGTCATTAAATACAAACACATGGACATTGTGATTTGGAAACAAAGCCTTCAACTTCTCATGAAGAACGTCACGTCGTTTAACATTGTCTGTTTCGCTCTTTGTTTCGGTGATCACATCATTTGCTATGGACTTTATTGCAGCGGAGGTCATAGTTTCTCCTGTTGATTGCGATATTTTGAAGATTTCCAACCAGTAGCCGTCCTTGAGATGAACACCAAGTAATTTCTTTCCAATAAACCGTCCCCAACCACCAGTTGTGGATCTGTAGACTAGGATTGCATCATTGGGAAAAGCTTCTTGAAAAGTATTCTTTATATATTCGGCACTATTTATATCCACTAGAACAAAATAACATTTATGTGAGAACTTTCTCTTAATGCACTAATGATATAATAAAGTCTTCTATTAACACCCATAATCTCATACACCTTTCGATTTCTATCCTTAGCTTAAGCTATCCTTTGTTTAATTTCGTACCTTGTTTCTTAGCACCATACAAATGTTGAATCGATTCAATGTCAACTGATGATAAACTTTTCGTAACACCAGCAAATGGATAAGTTTTCTGCATTATCGACGCCGCATTTCTAGAATGGTCTAAACCGAGTGCATGTCCTATTTCATGCAGAGCAACTAGAAAAAGGTTTATCTTCGATTCTTCATTGCTAAAAATAGTAAAACACCAAATGATAATAAAGAAGATTCTTATTGTTGCTGCTTACTTCTCTGCCCATACTTCATCGAAATCGAAGTGAATTTGTCCATTAGTAGGCGGATCTGCGTGGGCCAAAGTTCCACCTTGTCCATCGAATGGCTGATTCTCGCACTCAGCGTGAGCACGTGAAACAAATTTAATAACAATATCTGCCGTGCAAGTAGAACAAACTTTCTCAAATTCTAATGAAGTATGAGATGCATATGCTTGAAATGCTTCCTGAAGAATTTGCTCGGTTCTCAATGCTGAAATTTCGTTTTTCCAAGGATAACTTTGTATTGACCACGTTAGACGAGATTTAGACCATTTTAAATCACCAGCATGGAGTCTAAATAAAGCTTCATCGCCGACTCCACAGATTCTGCTATTAAGGCTTTGAGCTGGAGCGGCGGAGACTTGATACAATGTAAAGAAAGTAAAAATGTATAATACTACGAACATGCTGTGTTTCAATTCGAAAAAAGATGCTGAATGATAGCATTGCTGAGTCTACGTGTTCGTTATATAGTTCCGAATCCACCATATTCTTACTTATCTCTACCAGGGAAATCCCAACTTACGTCAGTGTCGTGTAAACAAAAGATTATCGATCAGACTCATATAAAATTCGACCTATCATCACTATACGATAAGAAATATGTTGTGGTATGCGTGCGTATATCAAATTGTATTTTTTGGTCTCTTGATAAAAAATCTCAGTCAATGTTAACCTTTGTTTTTTCCCTTTCGATGGGAACATTTCGATTCACCGAAATAAGTTTATTTTCAAACTGGTGCCCGTGAGTAATCAATGTCAAAGTGTTACTTTTATGGATGTACTAAGTCGTATTTATTCGTTTTCACGGGTAGGAAAAAACGGCATGACGTTGTAACTTCAACCTAAAACGTCTTGAAAAAAAAACACTGGAAATCAACAAGACACCTGCGCGATTTCTTAGTTCAACGATACTTCGAAAATTCTTGAGTTCGAACATAATCCAGAATTAGTTGACGACACACTCATTGATATGCTTTCATTCAATTCGAGTAATAGTTGTACCTTTTGTGTGATTTTCGTGTTTATTTTCTATTCGCTAAAAACATTAGAAAATGAGGTTTTTTCTTGTATGCTTCACACATGTGAACCACTTCCATCTTTGAAATCCATCAGTAAATATATTTTGATCGTAGTTTATTCAAATAATCGATCAGTTAACATTTTCCAAAGACTATTGCATTACAATTAATCGTTTAATACATAACTAACTATTCATCTATGCAATGACTTCCATTGATATTGATTGACATGTTGAATGAAGTATCTTTCGAAAAGTACTATCGGCTATTTTATTCCGCCACGAACAAACTTTAATATTCAGCTATATGCGTGAAGAAAGTACATTTACATTGAAACAGTGATTCTGACTGTTGAGTTCATGATTGTCTTTCTTTGCTTTGAAATTTAAACTGAGTACGATTGTCATCTTTGTCGGTGAATGTCAAATTTTAAAATCACATGTCTGCAAAGTACACTTGAACATTACTCGACGTGAACTTATTTAACGTCAGCTACTTGAGAAATACAAGAGCAGTTCTTCAATAACTTGTTCGTTTCTATTCATATGATGACTCGTCGTCTCGGCAACTTCATCGTTTTTTTTTCTCATAGAAAAGAAAACGAAGGAGCGAGACATTTGGATGATCATAATTATGATGATGAAATCTTTGAATACAACAATTGAATATGAAAATCAGGGGGATTCTTATGTCTCGTTTTATGAATATCCACACCATCAATCGTTGATTAATTCACGATTTCAAGCAGAAATTGTCGCTTTACCAACATCGAATCGTGATGAATTAGTTGATTCATTAGAATCATTGGCGTTGAAAATAAAAACACTTGAAAACCAACGAAAAGTTTGTGAAAATCTACCATTGAATGCGGTTCTACTGATTTTATCTTTTCTTTCAGCAGGCTGAGCGTACATTTCAAGAAATTACAGGAAAATGTACCCAACCAACGAGAAATTCTGTTCGTTCAAGAACACCGGAGGACTTTCGAGTTTCCTCGTCCTTCAAAATCCAAAACAATGGTAAAAATAAACGAACCTCCCAGCAAAATCACTCAGATACTCCGTTCATTCTCGGTAAATCTACCACACCAAGTCACAATGTCAAATCCAATATTCAAACTGTAAAAATCCATCCCGAGAATTTTCTTTAACTAAACTTTTCTTTTTCAGGTCATCGCATTACTAAAATCTCATAATCATCAGTTGTGTTTATCGTCAAAAGAATATGTAAAAAATCTTCATACTCATCGGAAGAATCATTTAACTTCCCATGATCTTCTTTATCTTGACCATTATAAGAGAACTTCCGTGTCACCTAGACGATGCGACTCAACCAAAAACTCTCAGCATCATTCTCGAATCGAACATCTTTTGAATGAATACATCAAATTATTCCGTAAACAGACGAAATTCCATTTATGTAGAGCGAATTCACAGGAATTGAACAGCTTAAACGAAAAGATGGAAACTATTTTAGACGAATTAAAGTATCTTCAAAGTCAAAACAAACATGAAACATGCGGAAGATCAAAATTTTTTCAAATGATTCTCAAAGAAAAATAAAAATCTTGTTTTATAAACTTTAAATTACATTTCATATCTCAAATAAATCTATATTCAACAGACGGGGTTGTACACATCTGACATTTTTATCAACTGACCGTTGTCATGAGATTCAACCCTTTCTCGCTCATACCAATAAGAGAACGAGAGAATGAATAACATTTTACTGTTCACATCGATCTTTTCTTTGTGATGGTCAGCACCTCACATACGTTTGTTGTTTGTCATGCACAACAACAACAACGATTTCACACAACAATCGACCTACGAACTTGTTGTGGATCATCAAAATGAATTTACGCTATATTGGCTCTTCTACCAACCAATTACAGTTCCAGCGTTACTCCATGGTTTCGTTATCTTACGTCTCATACATGGTTTCGACCGCGACAACGACTTTTACTCTCGCTTAGATGAATATTAAAATACTCTATGCGAGATGTGAATAACAATAATGGGTGTTTTCATCAATGATATTTCGAACATTCACCAACTTATGAAAATAAAGATTTCGAAACGATCCGTTCATAACTTTCCTTCATACAGATAAAGTTTAGAAAGAGGAATACTTTTTTTGTTATAGTCGAAGAC